AAGTATGTGACGTGCAGCTGTCGTGCTTCGAAGTGGTAGGGCATGAGCACCAGCTTGGACGCCGTTGATCCTTCTGGAGGCAGGACTCGCTGGAAGAGACGGAGCTGCTCTGGCAGTTCCCTCGACCATCTGTAGATGGCGTTTTCGATGGCGGTTCGTTTAGGCCGTGTCAGCGTCCGGCGACAGCAGGCCTGGGTGACGTCGCCGAGAAGCGAAGACACCTCGACATGGGCGAGGAACAGAGCATCGTCGGCTCCGCATCCGTAGAAGTCTTCAGGAGTGAGCGGCCGGACATCGTTGTCCTCGGTGTTGATTGCCCGCGGCCGGCCATGGCTGGCGGATATCAAGCAGTCTCGAGCCTAAATTCAAAAAGAGAGTTGTATAAGCTACCGTTATATTAAGTATTGTGTCATTGTGTCATTGTGTCATTTTTCGCCCTTCAACAAAAGAAACAGGCTTACGTAGAGTGTCCACCACAGTCTCCGCCGCAAGGGTGCCTCACGGCCCGGCGGAGGCTCCTTGTGTAGCCCGATCTGATATGCCAGGCCAACTCCGATCCGACTCCAGAACCCGCTGGTATTAATGGAAACATGCTCGGGACCCTCGGGGTTGTACCAGTGCAGGATACACACGGCAGTGATGACGGTGATGGTATTCTTCTCGTACCCGGACCAGAACAGGGCCTTTGCTCGACGGTAAAACTCGTTGGACGAGGCGTAGGCCGTGACAGCGGGGGCAGAGGATACCCGGCTGGCGGCGAGGAAGACCGCCTGGAGGAGCAGGATGGACAACTGGCTATCCCGACGCTCCATGAGCCAGCTCCTCTCCACTATAGGCATCCATGGAGCGCATCTCTTCATAAACGTATCGATGAGACCATCCCTGACGGCGCGAGGCGGGAGGTCGAACGCATGCTGCAGCTGTAGTATCTGGATGTCCTCCTCCATCAGACTCTCCGTAGCAACGGCCGGGTAGGCCTTTGCCCGGTCTTCGTTGATAGGCACCTCGCCCCGTATATACTCTGACCGGCCGAGGAAGGTTGTGCTGCCCCCTGAAGCCGGCTCATGCAGGCCAGGCTCCATCTGCTGCTGCTGGTGCTGCTGGGCGCGCAGGGCCACCGAGCTCGAGGCATTCTGCGAGTAGAGAGTGTTCCCGTCTGCATCCTGCACAGTCGTCGTGGTCGTCGTGGTCGTCGTCGTGGTCGCTGACGGGGTCGCCGGAGCGTTGTTATGGCTGTTGTTATTATTATTATTACTATTGCTGCTGGCGGCGGCGGTTATGTTATTATTATGGTTATTGTTTGGCGCCGTGGAGCCGGGACCCCCTGAGGACTCCGATGTGCCGGAAGGCTGGCCATCGGCAAGGATGGCGCGACGAGGCTCCCATCCCGGATACCCGGCCTCCCACTGCTGCGACCGTGACGGAGGCAGTAAAGGGGCTGCGCTGAGATGCTCCGTCCCCGTAGGCGTCGTCTCGGGCTCTTCCTTGGTGTCTGAAGCGACCTTCCGGCGTTTTCGCTTGCGCTCGCGGGGTCTAAGAAGAAATGCGACGAGAATCAGCCCAGCAGAACCATACACGCACACGCACACACACACGCACAGAGGCTAGCACTAGCACTACGCGCGACGAGGGAGATATGCGCAAGGGCGAACGGGGGAGGGAAGAGGCGATGCGTACGAGCAAGTCCAGTGGTTCCGGGCGCAGTTCGAGCACTGCTGGCCGCCGTCCGGGTATATACAGCGAATCTAGCGATGGCCCCGGCACCGTCGGCCTTCGGTTAGTGGAAAACTCGACGGTAAAAGAGACGATTGATACTGCAGCCAGGCAGCCAGACGAGTAGAGTGAAAAGACAGACTATGACGCCCGAGGAAGAGCTGCTGGCGCCCGCCGTAGACAGAGAGAGAGAGAGACGACTTACCTTCTTCTTGTTGCAGGCAACGCAGGCTGAAGCGGCTCGCAGCCGGGGTGGGCTTTCGCCGGGCATAGCGCTGGAAGTCGCCGGAGTGTGCGAGGGCTCGTTATCGCCCATCCAGCCGGCGACGAGCACAAGCACACAGAAAGAAGCAAAAGGCAGGTGAAAATAGAAAGAAGTAGAAGTAGAAGTAGAAGAAGTAGTAGTAGAAGAAGCAAAAAAGTAGAAGAAGCTCGTCGGGTCGGGAGGTAGAGAGAAAGGAGAGCGAGAGACTCGAGGCGGGCTTATTTTTTTATTTTTTTTTTTATTTTTTTTTTTCTTTTTATTTAGTAAGTTAGTTTTAGGCGATGCGGCAGCCGAGTTCGATCTCCCCTTTGAGCGCGGGAAGGGCTGTGGACACCTAGGAAAAAAAATGCTGCCTAGCGACTGGGCTTCAGGCCTCTTTGTGTGTGGGGGGCGGATGGGAGGTTAAGGGCAGGCAGGCAAGGGGGGCAGTGGGAGAGAGTAATAGTAATAGCAGAGGATTAAGATAGGAATAAGGTGAAAAAGAAAGAAGAGAAAAAGAAAAGAGGCAGCATAGATAGAGAGAGAGATCACGTAGAAGAGAAAAGGAGCACCGGAATGCAGACTGCTGGGATCCTGGCATGTTTGGCAGTCGAGAGATGCGCTGCGATCATTCGACGGCTGGTCGGGCCGGGCTACGGTGGTTACCTAGCGTTAGGTAGGTTGGGTTGGGCTGGCAGGCGAAGAAGAAAAATACCCGAGCGGACCGGCGCTGAGGATGAGATGGCATGGCGATAAAGACGGTAGATAGATAGATAGATAGATAGATTGACAGATGGAATACGATGCACGTCAAGAAAACCAACAGGTCACATAATTTAAAACAGGGGGTGAGGTAAGTAAGGGTAGGAATTTTGGTCAGCTTCATTATTTATCTATACTATCTTAACCGGGGTTTCGAAGGACGAAATGTGACCGGATTTTCAATAGACGTCTGCCATTGTCCGAAGCTAATCGGTCGACAGAAATCCAGTACATCAGGTAGTTGCCGCAATCCCTAGGGGACGCAGGTCAAGCCATCGATCTCAGCACATCTTCGGCACAACAGCAACCATTGAGAAGGATTGTGTTGTAATTTGACATCCGTGCTGGTAAGGGAAGAAGAAGAAGAGTAAGATAGAAAAAAGAGAAAAAGGAGCGAGGAATGGAGGGTAGAAAAGACCTCCATGGAATATTACATTATTAGTATAGACGTCAAAGGGGTAGTTGTTATCATACAGTAGAATGGTTTCGTAGATGCAAAAAAGGTTAAGGGTCGAGCAATGGGAAAAAAGGGGGAGGGAAGCCGAAGAAGAAGTAGGTCGAGTCGTAAATGCGTGAAAGAAGCTGGCGTGACTTTTAGAGCTCACCACCGTGGGTTTGGGCAGGGCCGGGCATAAGTTTTCCCTTTTTGAACTCTTCGATTGCGAGGTCGAACCTGGCACCAAACAACCAAGCAACGAAGAACTAGAAAAAAGAGTTAGTTAGTTCATCGGGTTGTTGTTAGTGGGATGAATAGTTAACACATACCATTGTTATAGTGACGAAGAGCAGGACGCCGAAGATGGTGAGCATTATATACATGGTGTCTTTCTTTGCTTCGGCGTCGGCTTCGTCTTGGGCCAGCTGCTCGGGGGATTTCTCATTGGTTAGTCTTCGAGCAGCCGCTTCCGGCGACTGCGAGGGGAAAATACGCTCAACGACCTTTTCGACCTGTGATATTGTATGTCAATTAGCAGATATTCGCATGAAATTAAAAAGAGGTGGGGGGGAGAACTAACATGTCCGCAGGCCATGCTGATCTTGAGGAAGTTTGGATCCTTGGAGGTGTTCTTCTGGTGAATGGCCCGAGCATAGCGACGGAACACGTCACAGGCAACTCGCACGTTCTGCGTAGAATCTATCATGAGCCGACAGGCAGTGCCCTTGGTTATCTTGATGTTCCGCTCAAACATGGTGCCGTTGCGGAAACAGAGCTCCAGAGTCGAGATGGCCATGGTCTGCGGGATGCAGCAGAAGTTGAACACACTCTGCTCCCGGAGCGCGGAGAGATAGTATATACAGTCCTCTACATGTGAGAGGGCATTGAGAATCATGTCAGCGTTACAGTTAAGGGCCTGCTGGCGGAACTCGGGCTTGAAAAGGTCACCGAACTCCTTGACGTGTCTCGACCAGATCTCGCGGGGCCAGAAACGACGCTTGTCATCGTGGTCTTCACGCACGTCACGAATGATGTTCGTCTTCTGCAGGAATCGCCCCATGGAGATGAACAACTCCGGACGCTCCAACAGCTCCGGCCGCGCAAAGCCAGCCTCGACAAACAAGCGGGTGAGGCCCTCACCCACCAGACCGGCCACATAGTAGCAGTAGAGGTCGTAGTCTTCAATGGTCTTGACTATTTCGTCGTCCTCTTGGCCGCGTCTGATGTAGTCTGCCATGCCATTGCCCATCTTCTCGGTTATATCTTTGATGATAACCTTGTAGGCTGGCTTGATCTTCTTGAATTCCGTGATGACGTTGTGGAACTGAACCAGCAGCTCCCGGTCCTTCTCCTCCGGACGGTTCCCCGTGAAGGTCCAGCCATCTTCTTCAAGAATGTCCTTGAAACCGCGCAGTATGGGCTCCTTGGTCTCCAGAGGTATCGACGTGTCGTCCTCGACCGTGTCCAGGCCACGAAGGATGAGATAAAACAGACATACGGGCATCAGAAGCTCGGGATGGAGCTCCATGATGACAGCAGAGAAACTTCTGCTGGTAAGCTTGAGGAACTCATAGCACTTCTTCTCCGTCTCTGTTTCCTTGGAAGGGTCTCTTGTATGTACAGGCTCGTGGTACGTAGTCCTTTTTTTTTATATCCCATTATGGTGGCTGCGGTCAGCAAGCGATGCAGCCTGGCAGGGTATGCGCGCGGGTTAGTACACACCATTGGATGATAGCTCTGAGCTCCTGGGGGTGGCAGAGGTAGTAGACAATCTCTGTTGCCTTCATTGCGGCAGCTTATGCAGGGGCTTCTTCTGTGTGGCAAGTGAATAGAAGGATATGGAGCATGAAAAAAAAGGTAACGAGGGAAGCTCGAGGACCAGCTCAAAAAAAAGGCCTGCCGGACGGCCAATTACAAGTATACAGACTCAGAAGACGAGGATATGGAGAAGAAAATGATAGATACAGGGAGAGAAGAGAGAGAATTGGGGTCGAGGACGGCGGTGGAGGAGGGCGACGGAGCGTCGGGAGGTTGCTGGCGTTGGTGATGGTGATGATGATGTTGTTGTTGTTGGTTTTCTTTTATGCAGGAGAGAGAAAAGGAAGAAAAATAAAAAGGAGAAAGAGAGAAAAAAAGGAAAAGTAAGCTTTTGGGCCTCCCCTTTGTGGGAGGGCTTAGTCAGCAGTGCCATCAAGCAAGCCAAAGCAAAGCAAGAAAGCAAGAAAGCAAGAAGAAGAAGAAGAAGAAGAAAGCAGCTTTTCTTTCGGGCGTTGCAGAGAGAAGATCAAACAATGGATGTAGTTAGCCAGGCGGGCGACGGTGACGGTGGCAAGGGGGATGAGAGAGACGGCATCCAGAGGCCAGCAGTGGATGGATGGCTGCAGTGGTCTTCCAGCAGCTAAAGCAAACCTGCCTGTAGCCGGCCGCCGTCACTGTGACTGTGACCGTCACTTGTCCATGTCAATGTAGGTAGCCAGCCGGCGATGCTAACTAACTGCCACAGGGCCATCACCGCTGGTCAATGGCATCCCCAGACATAAATAGCACCCTGACAGCCCATCCCAGTCTCTTTTTTTTTTGGCGCTTTTTTATGTCCCTTCGATATCTGCTTGACCGTCGACTTCAAGCTACTTCTACGGGAGGCCCCTTCACGTGACGACCTTTTTTCCGTTCCGACCGCCTCCTCCATCGAAACCCAAGAAAACATCCCACTTTCGGGCCTGTCAAGGATCGCAGAAAGGATAGGCGGCTTTCTTTTCTTCTTTTTTAAGCTTCCTGACAGGTTTGCAGAAAAGCCCAGATACCAGCCCGCGGGGAAGACGTTCGCTTGATTCTGCCTGACGATGCGGTTGAGGACTCTGCCTCGTCTGGAGCTGCCGGCTGCGGCCGACATGCATGTCCACCTCCGTCAGGATGCCATGATGCAGTTAGTTACACCCTACATTCGAAAGGGAGGGGTTGATACTGTCTTTGTGATGGTATGCATGAAATCAATTCTTACGCCGTAATCTCTGCTGTCCTTCGCCTCTCTCTTCTTCATCTTCTTCTCTCTCTCTCTCTCTCTCTTACATGCTTACCTACCTTCCGGGCTGGATACATGATAGCATGATACACGGATATCACTTCGTTCTGGATATATCTGGTTCAACGGCTCTGACTTGTTTAACTATAGCCAAACCTTCAGCCGCCCGTTACAACGGTAGCCCAGGCAGTAGAGTACAGGAACAAACTCCAAGAGATCGAGCCAGATGTCCACTACCTCATGTCCTTGTACCTGCATGACTCCATTACTCCGGACGTGATCAAGGAGGCCGCGGCTGCCGGTATCACTGGCGTCAAGGTCTACCCGCAAGGTAATCTAAAAAAACACACCACAACAGAACAAGCTGATTAGCTAGCTAGTTGGCCGGCTTACCCACACACACACCCTCTTTTAACTCTCTCGTCGTGCTAATTAATCTATTTCTAGGAGTGACTACCAATTCGGCTGCGGGCGTCACTAGTCTGGAAGACTTCTATCCCGTGTTCGAGGCCATGCAGGAGCATGACATGGTACTCAATTTGCACGGTGAAGTGCCGGACGTTGATGTCATGAACGCAGAAGAGGCCTTTCTGCCAACCTTGAAAGGCATCAACGAGAGATTCCCAAAGCTAAGAATAGTACTTGAGCACTGTACCACTTCTGCCGCCGTCGAGACCGTTCGTTCCTGCGGGCCAACGGTTGCCGGTACGCTTACATATACCCCCATTCTATGATATATATATTTATATATATATATATACCCCACGTAATAATATGATTGAGTACTGACGTCAACGTATTATAGCTACCATCACTGCCCATCATCTGTACCTCACAGTAGATGACACCGTTGATCCCTTGGCTTTCTGCAAGCCGATTGCCAAGACTCCCGCAGACCGAGATGCCCTCATCAGGGCCATCTGCAGCGGTGATTCAAAGTTCTTCCTGTAGGTTTCCATTTTATATATACTCACCCTTCACTCCCGCATCCCTAAATCCGGGATCAAGGGCCGAAACGCTAAACAATCCTTTCTTTTATAGAGGCACTGATAGCGCTCCGCATCAGAGATCAGCCAAGGACCAACCAAAGGCAGCAGCTGGTGTTTTCACCCAGCCGTACGCAACACAGTACGTCCTCCTTGCCCTGGAGGACGCCACCGAGCGTGGTATCATACAGGAGTCTGCCGTCACCCAGGAGCGACTAGAAGGGTTCCTTAGCCGGTCCGGCAGACGGTTCTACAAGCTGCCCGAGCCAGAGGCAGGAAAGATCATTCTCGAGAGAAAAGGAGAGACCATAGAAAAGTCAATCAAGAATGAAGATGGTAGTGTGGAAGTTGCCTTGTCAAGAGGCGGAGCCGAGATCTTCTCCCTGCGATGGGCTTAAAAGAAGGGGTTGCCCTCCCTCTCTCATCTTTTTCATATACCAAATTCATACAACACACACCCATACATCTATCTCGCAAGACAGGTTAGATTGTTCTTACAGTTCATGAGCCCAGGGAAATCAGATATCGTCCACTGTTAATCGGTAATACTTCAGCGGAAGGGTTATAATAGACATGACCCCTTCTTTAGATAGGCACTTAACGGGACCTTTTTTTTTTTTTTTTTTTTCTCCTTTTTGGCGTCCCAAGCGAGAGAGGATATCTTGCACCCGAGAAGCTCTTTTCCCTTATTCTCTCTGGTGATACTGCCCCTTAGAATGCTAGATAGCAGGCGATTCTCGCGGCCTTCCTTCCTACGCACGCCGAGGCTGTGATGCCCCACGCCACAGAGGCAGTGACAGGAGACACACGGAAGCACGGAAGTAAAGCAAGTGGCTGTGAGACTGCTCAGCTTGTTCGCAGCTGGCCCGTCCCTTATGCGTAGCCGTTGAACAAAGCAAAGGGCATCTCCTCGTCATCTGTGGCTGTGACTCCTTTGGCCTGGCGTCTGAAGTCCCGTCCTGCTCTCGAAGTTCCAAGTCGGAGATAATAATAAAAAGGGGGGAGAAACAAAATTGCGCCCATAGTTAGAAATCAGCTGTGAAGGAAAAACCTTATTTCGGGTGCTTTCTGGCGACGATGACGATCACATAAAAAAGCAGCGGACCGAGCTTGCTCTTCTTCATCGCTCTCGATTCTCACTTCTGCTATTATTTCACCAGTTCAACGTCGCAGCATAGAGCGCATCCCAGCCAATATAGACCGTCGCTGCTTTTTTCTCTTCTTGATAACCGATACATAGCTGTTGCTGCTGGACTCCGATTTCGCCGGTTGCTGCCTCGCTCAGCTTTGACCTGCCCCTCCTAAGCCTGTCCAGGGGGACTTTGACATCGCCAGCCCGCAAAGATGGTGGTAGATACTACATACTACGACGCCCTGGGAGTGCCTCCCACGGCTACTCTGCTCGAAATCAAGAAGGCCTACAGGAAACTGGCCATTACAACCCATCCAGGTTGGTGCTGACTTGTCCTCCGCTGAGGCATTGCGGTTCACTGCTAACCCCACCGCCATAGACAAGAACCCCGACGACGAGACAGCACATAGCAGATTTCAAGCTGTAATTCTCTCCTCGTTACGCTACCTAGACGGGATACCCCATCATCATTGGCACAATTACTGACTGGTCTCTGGGGAGTTTCTAACAGATCGGAGAAGCCTATCAAGTACTGAGTGATGAGACTCTACGAAAACAGTATGACAAGTTCGGAAAGGACAAGGCGGTTCCTGGTGGTGGCTTTGGTAAGGTGTTCTCCTCCGTCTTGGACTCGGTCATTGAAGGACTAACGAAGATACTCTCTACAGAGGACCCTGCGGAGCTGTTTAGCATGATTTTCGGTGGTGAAGCCTTCGTTGACTGGATAGGCGAGATATCACTGATGAAGGACCTCACCAAGACAATGGACATTACCATGCAACAGATGGAAGAAGACGAAGAACTCGCAAAGGAAACAGACGCCAAACTAAACGTGAAGGACCCGGCGAAGCCGCAGTCTGGCGAGACGACTACAACCGCTGCTCCCGGTGCTACCGTCGCTGAGGACGATGAAGCGAAGAAGGAGGGAACTGCCGGAGCAAGTGAGGCTGCTTCCGGTACCAGCACCCCGCGAAGGAATTGGGGACAGCAGGCAATCATGGATAAATCCGAGGAAGAGGCTAGAATGCAAGCAGAGGGCTTATCACCAGAGGAGAAAGAGCTGCGGAAGAAGGAGAAGAAGAAGGGACTCTCTAAGGAACAGCGGGAACAGCTGGCTGCATTCGAGCTAGAAAGGAAGAAGCAACGTGAAGAACGAGTCAACACCCTTGCGCGCAAACTAGTTGATCGACTCAGCGTTTGGACCGAGACCGACAAGGGCCCTGACGTCACCGCCGCATTCCAGGAAAAGATCAGACTGGAAGTCGAGAACTTGAAGATGGAGTCCTTTGGTCTGGAAATCTTACACGCTATCGGAAGCACATATAACTCCAAGGGAACGTCCTTCCTCAAGTCACAGAAATTCCTCGGCATATCAGGATTCTTCTCGAGACTAAAGGATAAGGGTAACCTGGCCAGGGAGACATGGACTACCATCTCGACCGCGCTAGATGCCCAGATGACCATGGAGGAGATGGCCAAGCTCGAAGAAAAAGGTGGTGAGGACTGGACTGATGAGAAGAAGGCTGAGTATGAGAAGAAAGTCACTGGAAAGATCCTCGCTGCCGCCTGGAGAGGAAGCAAGTTTGAGATCCAGAGTGTCTTGCGTGAAGTCTGCGACCAGATACTGAACGACAAGGCTATCCGTCTTGAGAAGCGGGTAGAGCGCGCCCAGGCTCTGGTTATTATCGGGAAATACTTCCAGCAGGTATGTTCTCCGCAGATATTTCCATGCTGATGTGAAGCCGTTGCATAGCTAACCATTTTACAATACAGGCTGAACGTGATCCCAACGAAGAGGGAGAGTACATGGCCTTCGAAGAGCTTATGGCCGACAGCATGGCGAAGAAAGACGATAAGAAGAAATCAGCTTCAGCAGCAAAACAGTCTACACCAAACCCCAGCAGCACCGAGAAATAATCACTTACATAAAAACCCACCCACTTATGATCTTCCGTTAATTTTTTTTAGAGAGCAACTTATTCACCATTGCTTACTTGCGTGTTTTGTTTGCTTGCTTGATTGTTTGTTCGGCACCTTTGCTTCACACCCTTAACGAGGTTGTTGTTCCTCCTTTTTCATATTCCCCCCTCTCTTACACGCTCGTAAATAGATAATGTGTTCGTTTTCCCTTCCTTTGCCTTTTCTGCTAATTTCTCGGAGATAAAGTACATTCTGACATTGTATGCAAATGGCTGTTAAATTGGTAGCCTATTCATCAGCTCGAAAAGAGTTATGCATTTATGGACGATTTTGTACATATTGGTACAACAAAACTCAATACACAACTTGCCATGAGATTAAGAACGTCAGTTTGGTAAAACTCGTAAGGGAAGCGAGGCACAAATAAGGGGGTATCATACAATGTATAGTGGGAACCGTTCCGGGGGATTAGAAGCAACGCATAGGGGAAATGGATAGGAAGTAAATTGCTGGTCTTCCAGCCTCCGCCATGTTAGCAGCGTGTATGCCAAAAGGATATATGCAAAAGATGTTACCAGCTAGTAACGTGATAGAGAAAGGAAAGGGGTAGTAAATAGGGCAGGTCAAGTTCGGGGGATATCGTGTATATGTGTAAAAAGAACCAGCCAACCAACTCCAGTCGCTTTATAATAGAAGGATCCCCAACCATAAACCAGGCAAGACTATGAGTATTTTAAGGGATAAAAAGGAGTAAGCGCTCTGATAAATGGGAAATGCAATAAACAAGTCATGTAATATATACATCTAGTACATATGACAAATGAAAAAAGTAAGGGTTAGAAGCTGATCATGAACCAAGATATCATATCGGGGGGTGGGTGTTATCGCTCTCCAGTGGACGATGGCAGATCGGTTGAATCTCTATTGGGTATAGAGGGAGGTGATTCGATGGCCTCATGCCCTTCGAACGACGGTATATCCGAGCAAGATATATTCATCGAGGGACTCAGTAAACCTCGGGTATTCTTGAAATAATCGCCATCAAAGTCATCGGGGCCAAGAACACGACCACCGACCTCAACGTCGCTCACATGGACGCTATATTCCAGGGCTTTCTTGGCTTCTGATATGAGATTCTCTGTCCAGCCAACGCAGCGTTTGATGCTCTGATTCATCTTCTGGCTGTCAATAAGTAGCTGTTGATGTCTTTTGAGGTCGAGAAGTAGTCTGCTTTCATCTTTAGCTCGGTGTTTCTCGTCATGTTCTGCCGTACGGCCGGAGCTCATGTTGTCTTCCTCTGAGCTTGACGGGTCGACCTCGTCATCTGTTAGCTCGTCAGCTGAGCAGGCAGGTGACATACGGGAATAGGAATAGCTATCCGTATCGTCTCCATCTGCTTCACTGACTACCGAGAGCCCACCCCCGGAAACAGAACGGCGAGCGGATGTCATCGATAGCCGGCCGGAGCGGCTTAGTCGACGGAAACGACGGAGCTCAGCGTTCTGTTTCCGCATTTCTCGTTCCAGAGCACGGTTTATAGCTAATAGAGACGAGTTACTGATTTCGAGGTCCAGTACTTTTCTTTCTCGCCTGGCATTGGCCGCTAGCTCGTTCATTCTCTGTAGTACGTTCCCGTCATCTTTGGACGGGCTCGGCGCTCGTGGGAGAAGATTATGTGATATTTCCCCTGAGGAAGGCGATCGATTATGTGAAGCTTTCGGGTATGGGTCTATCAAATCACTCGCTGACTGGGATGTACTATCCTGCGAGAGTGTAGGACGGTGGATTAGAGGGCTAGCCAAAAACGAGTGCTTTCGGCCCGCAGTATGTGTCGAGTCGCAGCTGGTGGATTTCATATGGCCGAACCTGCCAGGGTTCTCGGGCGTCTGGTCATTACGGCTGGTGGTATTAGGTATCTGAGGAAATGTTTTTTCTTGTGCCGGCGCGAGTTTCGGGCTAAATATGTGCTGTTCGGTTGCATTGCCCGTGAATTGTTTAACTTGTGGCCCAGAAGGAGACGTTTCCTGGAGTCGAGGAGACACTGGAGATTTTATAGGGGTAGACTGTGCCAGCACCGGCTTCTTGACTGGTGCCTGTTGCTTATAGGAAGGGTCGGCAGCATTTGTAGAGTCTTCGGTACGGCCATCTGCGTAGATAAAAGACTTTGGGGCTAGATGGGGATTCGATTGAGGTTGTGGTTTTGATTCTGTGTCGTATCCTGAAGATGTCGGTGAGCGGGCATCATCTGCGTGGAAGAACTTCGGAGCCCCGACAGAGCTACCACACGACGACGCTGGCCGGTTATTTGGTAGATATCCATAAGGTTCATTGCTCATGCTCTTTGCTCTCGAGACTCTTAGGTTCGAACCGGCGTGTTGCTCTTGGGGAGTGGGCGATGCCTCGTGAGGGTTGCTACCCCTTGAGCTCTTTTGGCTTGCCAGACGGGGAGCCAGATGGCCTGGAGGAGGAGTAGTTGCAGCCGGAGACGGATTCCCATCCTTTCTCGCCTTTCTCTGACCCGATCTTGGTGTTATATTCGTGTTATGGATCGCGGATGGTTTGGGCGTCGAGGCTTCAGGGGTGCGGGTGTGATTCGGGCTCGGAGAGTCAAAATGGGCGAGTTTTCGAGGTAGGTGAGAATTGAAGCCGGCAAGCTTTGGCGTCAACGGGGACTTGGAATTCCTGTAGCCAGAGCCGGCCTGCGGGACAAACGGTTTGCTTGCCATGCTGTTGTTTTGTTTATCTGGCAGAGACATTGTGATCAACGGGGAGATAAACAAAGCGTGCAAGTTGGGCATATCGAAGGGCAAAACGGGGCGACATTCATAATGGCTACACCCAAGAGAACGGGGAGATATCCTAGCCACGCGCTCCAGTTGGTCCTTGGACTCGTCAGTCACCGACAGGGCGGCTCCTCGAGGCCGCTGGTGGTTGTTGTTGTTGTTATTGTTATTGTTGTTGTTGTCGATGGTGCCGGCGTCGTTGTTTGCGGTCAGACGCCCTTTTGCTCGCGGGCCAAAGAAATCTCCCCGTTGTTTTTTCGTCATTGAGCCATAACGCAGGCTAAACGGATCTAGCGCCGAGGCCCACCCAAATATATTCTGCATCATCGTTTCTTTGGCTACGAGAATCAGTGTTATCTACTTGTCGGTCGGGATCCAAATATATAAATTACATCAGGGCTGCCTGGTGGACTGATCCGTTGTTAATATTGTTATTTACTTCTTCCGGGGCCACGGCGGGGCACTGCTAGTAAAAGTGCAATTAAAATACTAGTTGAAAAACGGGCGTTTGCGAGCGCCGGGCTCAAGGGCAGCAGCCTTCCTCTTGTTTACCTGCAGGGACGGACTGTCCTCGGGCCCCAGTGTGCCCCGAACGGCCTCCTTGATGGTCTCCCGCGAGAGGCAATAGTCAACATGCTGGTTGAATTGTGCATGGTCGGGAGGCTGTGGGAACGAGCATATCGGACAGGGCCATTTGTCCAGCTTGACTGTCTTCGGCTCCTCTTGGGCGGCTTGCCGTGTTTTGTGACTTGATTCCAGTTCTTGGCTGAGGCTTTCCAGGCACTCCATGTCATCCATCCGCTCCTGGGAGGCTGCAGCTTCGAATTCCTCCTCCGTTGATGAGATGGCTTCGTTGCTAGCCTCTGATCTAGGGGCTACTGTCTGTCCAGAATCGCTCCTGTTAAAGAAGTTAAACGTGCCCTTCTTAGTGCTGACCAGATTTGCACAACGAAGGCCCATTAGACGGATTTTCATCTGCGGCCGTTCCTTGTGCAATTTCGTCAGCAACGGTAGAGAATATTTGTAGAGATCATCAGCCACCAGGAGCGGTTTGGGAGCCACAGTCTGCCGGGAGAGCACTTCAAATGTGTGAAGCTTTACTTTCAACACCAGAGTACGGCCTTTTGTTTCTGCGGCTCGTAAGTCTTTCTCAAGCGCAGACGCCGTCCACCTCAGTTTCTCCTGCAGTTCGTGGAAATCACTCAAATCTGCGAAGGTGTGTTCTGTTCCAATGCTTTTCCTCGGGAATGTGCCTGCGGGCTGGATTCGGGTTCTCCCGAGACCCAAATAACACTGCATCAGGAAACAGAATGCCTTTTGTCCGAAGAGTTGACTCAGCATACCACGATACTGATAAATGTCACCACATGTTGTTATTCCTATTGCACCGAGTTCACGCTCGAATACTCGACCAACACCGTTTACTTTGCGAACTGGAATTTTGGTCATAAATTCCATGATTGCAGCCCGCTCGCTTGGTACATAGAATTGACCATTCGGTTTATTCCAATTGGATGATATCTTTGCGATTTTGGCATTGGCTGCAATCCCGGCGGACACTGTTACCCCTGTTTGGGCGAAAACTTCACCGCGTAACTGCTGTACAGCCGCCTGAGGGTCAACATTATTAGCTGCACAATATTGGGTAATATTAAGATACGCTTCATCAACACTAGCGCTCTCAAATTCCGGATCATAGTTAGCCAAAATTGCTCGAATCTCTCGGGCCTTTGCGGTGTATTTCTCGTAATTCTGGGGTATGCAGATCAACTCGGGGCACAGCTTCTTGGCCACAAAGCTGGCCATGCCACTCCGACACCCAAACTTTCTAGCATGGTAGTTGCAGGTCGTCAAGACGCCTTTACCGACAGCCATAGGCACATCCCGCAACTCGGGCCGGTCTAGCTCTTCCACAGCAGCAAAGAAAGCATCACAATCAATATGCACGATGGACTGCGACAAATCACGGCGTAACTCAAGGTCCGCGATATATTCATCGGCCAGGCGGATGCTGTGGGACAGGTCTTGTTTCTCCAGTTTTTCCTTGTGTGCTAATATCTTCTGAATCTTTTCTGTTAATAGTTGATCCCGAGCCCTTTCGTGGTTGAAGAATTTCGACCCCTTCGAGGCGTTGTATATAATCTCCGATACCTAACGTGGGATAATAAGTATTGAACACTCCGTTGAATAATAAATATTGGTTTGGGGGTATATTGCACGTACTTTTTGCTGGTCTACCTTATCCTGGCCTGCCTTGGTCAGAGACGGCCCGAGCAGCTGGTATTTCAGGGTGTCATCGTGCTCGCTGCCCTCCGTTGCCTTATCTTCACCATTCGTCTGTATCCCCCCTTTGGCTTTCGATTCCGAATTTGTGGACATTTTTCCATGGCTGTAGCTAGCTTCTGCCACTTCCAAAACATTATTCCAAAGTTGCACCGCCCATGGCGCACTATGCACACCGACTTCCAACTCCTTGACTGGCAAGGAAGAGCGGGAAAGATGGTGACAGAGACGAGAAGACGTCGCTCTTTAAAGTTCAGCCTCAATTTCCGATTGATTATTAATCAATATTTCTGCTTATATCATCAGAGGAATAACTTTAATCCTCATATTAGCACGTGATATCGCGTTTGTCACGCGTTTTCTGATAGATCAAATGCGAAAGCTGCAATTTGATAGATAAGAAGCCGTTTGGCCGTTGAGAGCTGCTCCGAGATCTTCTCGATCGAAATTATTTATCGATGATTGTCACTGAGCTTCCACGAGGCATAAATTATGTGGATACTCTCGTCCGACGGAGATTTCCTACAAGGTTTGACTGGCACCTCATCGGGCGGTTCTTCGATTTTCATTGAACATAGCTAACTTATGACGGCTGTTAGGCAAACGGATATGGCTGAAACCAGGTAAAAAATACTTGTTTGGTCGGGTTCAACAAGACGGCAGTGAGTTCTTGCTATGTCTGAATCTCTTTCGCCTACTGTAGTGCTAATTTACTGTTTCACTGCCAGTAACACATACAATTGATAATCGTACGATATCACGGAAGCACCTTATAATTGAAGTCGGAAAAGTGAAACCGGGAGATGGGGTTCGTTTTTGCAATGTACAGATGATTCTCATTTTCAAAGCTAACTTTTGTTTTGATTTCAGTCACATATACACACAAGATCGAAGTTGATTATTAGCGATGCAGGCTCCAGGTGGGGAACCACTCTCGACGGAACACTTATAACTGGAGAGAGCAAAGAACTTGGCAGCAGAGATGAATATAAACTATCTCTTGGGCGGTATCCTTTCGTCCTCCGGTACGGCGAGAACTCCCTCACTGAAAAGATCATGAGAACACTCTTCTAACTGAGCTGCAGAGTAAAATGGTGTCCCATTGTCCTGAGTTTTTCGTTTCCAACAAAGCAGTTAAAGGCGAAAGATCCACTGGCACACGCTCGTTCACAGCTGGAGGAGCTAGATATAAAGACGGTTATCCCATATGTTGTTGGGAAGACTACCCATGTGGTTCAAAGCAAACGCAACACTGCCAAGGGACTCCAGGCTCTCATAAACGGGTGTTACCTGGTCCAAGACTCTTTTATCGAACGCATAAGATATGCTGCATCCCCCAAAAATGTAGAGCGTGAAGAATCTCTTTCTCCTCTGGAGGAAGATTTTGATAATGCATGGCCGGACCCTACCGAAGACCTCCCTCCCCGCGGAAATGCGCCTACCGAACTACCTGACAGTGCATATAAACCGAATTCAGATCGAATAAACGTATTTGAAGGCTATACTTTCGTCTTTAGTGACAAAAAACGATTTGAGGACCTCCAGGGCCCTATATCAAATGGCCATGGAAAAGCATTGTTTTATGAGGTTGAACCCGGGAAGACAAAGGCCGAGGATGTTGTGGATTTTTTAAACAAAGCTGCGGGTGTTAAGGGACTCGCATGCGAGCAAGATGGCACTGGAGGAGTATTGTTTATGCAGTTCTCCATCAAGGGTCACGAAGAGTGGTCCATTGCCATGGAAAATAAAGTGGCCGAGTTGACAGGTCAACAACCCGTGGAAGCTAGTGATTTCTTAGATGCAATTCTAAGGAACAATGCCTCACAGCTATATCGACGATACGAGAAGCGGGGTGACGTACAATCTACTCCGCCTGCCACAGTTCCAAATACGGATCCGGATCAAATACAAGAGATGTCGTCTGGTCCAAGTACTACTGTCCTCGTTGAGGATAGCCAAAAGGAAGCCCGGGTGCTCAAACGGAATAAATCGAAAGGGTACGTTCCAAAGTTCAAGGATTTTGATGATGGGTTTGACATGGAGTCAATACCCGTTTACCAGCTTGAGGATGATGGCGAGGGAGAAGAAGATGCACCGGTAGGTTTGCCTCTAGAAAAAGGTTGTTTGAGCTATGCTTATTTTTTGGCTAGAATATTATCCCAGACTCGCTACATGAAAGGGTCCCCTCAAGTGTTCCATCTGAAGGGGAAGGAGATGACACCGTAATAAACCTCCTACCAGGAACTGCTGCGATGAAGCAACGAGGAATCAAAAGGCCGCTGGAGACAAAACAGGTAGCACCGCAACCGCAAAAGGCCAAGAAGCCGAAGCTCGATCTGAAAGAAGCTGCCCGGCAGCGGCGTGAAGAAGTCGACGAAGCCGCGACAGCTCGTCGACAAGAGGATGCGATCTCATTCCAGGCCATTGTTGAAGGCATGGACCTTGTGCAGATCCAGAAACTCGTCACCGTGGAGGAAATGGAGGTCAAACCCAGGCAGCCACATCGCAACACCCCTACTGATGAGAGTCGATGGGATGAGAGGTGGAATGGCCGTCAAAACTTCAAGAAATTCCGAAGAAAAGGCAACACCGAAGTAGCTCACCGTCGGCGACCGATCATTGTTCCACTGGAAGAAGCTAAGAAGAAATACTTTGGAATTGGGGACGATTATTGGGGGGCAAGCTCTACACCTCCGGAACGCCAGAGGAGTCCGACCTTATCAAACAATATAGAATCAATGGCCACTTCTTTAGAGGTTCCCCAACCTACAGCCCCCGCCACACGCTCAAGGCCACAGAAGAGGTCGAGGGACGATGAAGAGAGCGATGATGGCCTTCGGTTCCGATTCAGAAGGAAACGCCAGCGATGAGGGTAACATCCCCAATTCAGTCGCGGTGATCGTCGAACACCTGTCTTCTAACCATGCAACCTGAATTCTGATCTGAAATACAACACGAGGCCTACCTGTCACAACAACCATTTGTGAAGAATGGTGCCGACTTACCTGTCGATGTCAGCAATTCTGATGAGTCAACTAGGCAGCAAATTGGCACACGCAACATGTCGGATATCGCATTCGCATTCGCATTGTCGCATAGCTCTCTGCACGCGGGCCATCCCGAACCCAAAGACCAGCGGAATAGGGGAACGAACCCCGCTTAGTCCTGATGAAACTCGTCAAAGATTTGTCAAAGACGCCTTTCCACCGACTCGAGCGAGTCAACCTGTGTAGAACTAGTTGTGGCAGTTGTCTAGTTTAGCCGGTGGATCTCGTATCCATTTTCTCATCCCGACGTCCATACAAATACCAATGACAACCCCAGGCATTTTCACTCCCTTAATGATACCAAACGATCTCTGTATCAAATAAGTCCAACCTAGAGTCGTCTATTATATTCCTATAAAATCCAATTGCACTGCGGCTGTGGCACGAAGAACTCGGCGGAACTACGGCTAAGATATCTCGGAATGACTCTCTCTGTCCACCCCGCAACTGCCGAGGACATCCCTCGAATCCTCGACATTCAATCGACAGCACTCAAGCAAAGTGGCTTTTTCCGCGCTTGTGGTGAAATCAGCAACCCGGGTGGTTTCCAGGACCATGATGAAAAATATCCCGAGCCCATACGACGAGAACTTCAGACAAAGAGACTGATTTATCAGATGGAAAATGACCCCGGGTTCCACCTACTTAAATGTGTCGACGATGATACGGGAGAGATTCTGGCGTTTGCGAAGTGGAATGTCTATGTTGGCGGTCCCGAGGCGCTGAAGAGATGGAGAGAGCAGATGAAGACGGGTGAAGATATGTTTGTTCCTGAGGGAGCAAATGTGGAGGGATATAGATATTGCATGGGCAAGCTCTTTGATAATCGAAAGCTATTCTTCGGCGAAGAAGGGAGGGAGAATTGTGGTATGTGCTACACTCCATACAACATATGCTGGGTTTGCTTCTTCTGACCGATCTAGTTCTCGCATTGCTGGCTACTGACCCTGCACATGAACGACGGGGTGCTGGAACTTTGCTGGTGAACTGGGGCTGCGATCTTGCAGATAAACATGGGGCAGAGACATACCTGGAAGCGTCACAGAGGGGATACCCTGTTTATGAACGACGTGGGTTTGAGGTTATTCCGACAACTGAAAAACAATCAGCAAAGTTACATTTTGACGCCAGCAAGTATACTGGTAGAGGTCTAGGGGAGGGAGGCCAGGGTGATTGGGCAAGACTCACCATCATGGTGCGCAAGCCTAGGCCTACCAAGGAGTAAATATTTTGACTCCCAAAGATAGTTAAAACTCATTATAAGTTAAATTCATTTCTTCCGATAGACAAATATTGCTTTGGTATATTACAACGTTCCGTTATATAAGGGTATCAATCTGAGCACGTCCAACTTCATGTTGCCTAAACCACCAACGCCCTTGTAACAATTGAATTTCCGAAAATTTAGCCTGCCTGGTAGATGGCTGGACCGGCAACAACATGTGAATCTATTAGACTCAGATTGAAAGGGGTCAGGTACAAATCCTCGTCTGTAATTGCAATGAAAACCGTTCCATTCACTGCTGGATCTCCCGCAAAAGTCGCAAAGTCCGGCTGCACCGTTGTACCGGTGAACATCTTACTAGTAGGGCTGGTTCCATTTGAAGAACCTCCTCCTCCACCGCCACCACTGCTTGGTGAGCCAGTGCTGTTAGAGGAGCCTCCGTTACCAGTAGGCTTTGCCATGGCCATTGTGTCTGTCCTAATTGACGAAGTATCGATAGCACTCACGGAAGGCTCAAGTGTAGTCGAGGAGCTCGTGGTGTTACCACCGCCAGAGCTGCCTCCATTACCTCCATTTTCCATAACTTCCAGAGGGGTATAGGTAACATTCAACTGAGTTATCCAAGCTACAAATGCAGGTTCCTTTGCCTGGGTGTTCGTGATGTAGCTATTATTCGGACCGACGGGCCGGCCGGCTGATTCCCATTGAAGGAGGATCTTGCGGCCTGGCTCACTCAACGGTTTAGTCCGGTTGGATGTGATCCCTGGCCTGCATTCTGTGCTGAGGCCACCACCACCACTGCTTCCACTACTGCTTCCACTTCC